GTTCGAGACCAGCCTGACAAGTATGGAGAAACCCTGTCCCTACTGGAAAAAAAAAAAACAAAATTAGCCAGGCGTGGTGGCACATGCCTGTAATCCCAGCTACTCAAGAGGTTGAAACGGAAGAATCACTTGAACCGGGAAAGTGGAGGTTGCGGCGAGCTGAGATCACGCCATTGCACTCCAGCCTGAGCAACAAGAGCGAAACTCCGTCTCAAGAAAAACAAAGAAATAATAAATATGTGATGATGAATATGTTAACCTGATTTGATCATTCTACAATGTATACACTGTACCCCATAAATATATGCAATTATTATCAATTAAAAATAAAATTTTAAGAAAATGGATGAGTAGACTTGTAATATGGAGGACCTTAAAAATCTCGAGATTTGATACACTGAAAAACAGAAAATCATTAAAAATTTGTAAGGAGAGGGAGTGATACAGAAGTGAGGTTTAAGCAAGATTAGCTTAGGTGAACAAGGTATTTTATAGTGGGGAGAAGCCGATATTGAGGAACTGGTTATGAGTTTGTGATGGTATTCCATTTGTGAGATGATGACTATGGCTATGAGATAGTAGAATTGGGAATGAAGGGAAAATAGGTTTCAAAACAAAAAGTGGTGGGACTGAATACCTGACTAAATATAAAAAGTGAGATTTGATTCATAGGCTGTCAGCTTTGAGGACTTTTCTTTCCCTATATATTTAATTAGATGTAAGTAGGAAATTTTAAAGAATTGATTTTGCCCTTTAGAGAAGCTCTTCTTTCTCCATTCCCTTCCCCTCTACATACGTAATTTGAGAAAAACTCTACTGTCCTTTAGGCAGCTGATTAGCACCTTCCTTTAATCTTTTTCCAAGCAACATAGTATTACCACACATTCGCTGTTTACATGTTAAGAGATGTTCCACCTCAGTAGTAATTAAATAAATGCAAATTAAAACAACCAGTTTTTGTTTTTAGGTTTTTTTTTTTTTTTTTTTTTTTTTTCCAGATAGGATCTCACTCTGGTTGCCCAGGCTGGTATGCAATCATGTGATCACGGCTCGCTGCAGCCTTGACCTCCCAGGTTCAGGTGATCCTCCTACGGAGCTCAGCCTCCCAAGTAGCTGGGACTATAGGTATACACCACCACACCCAGCTACGTTTTAATTTTTTTTTGTAGAGATGGGGTTTCACCATGTTGCCCAGGCTGGTCTCAAACCCTTGGACTCAAGCAGTCCACCTGCCTTGGCCTCCCAAAGTGCTGGGATTACAGGGGTGAGCCACCGTGCCCTGCCCAAGTTTGTTTTTATAATAATAATCAGTGTTGTGAGGGTTTGATGAGACTTGTGTTCTTTTTTGTTTGTTTGTTTTTTTGAGAGGCAGTCTCATGCCCAGGCTGGAGTGTAGTAGAGCCGTCTCAACTCACTGCAACCTCCAGCTCCCGGGTTCAAGTAATTCTCCTGCCTCAGCCTCCCAAGCAACTAGGATTACAGGCATGTACCACCATGCCCAGCTAATTTTTGTATTTTAGTAGAGACAGGATTTTACCATGTTGGACAGACTGGCCTCAAACTCCTGACCTCAACTGATCTGCCCGCCTCAGTCTCCCAAAGTGCTGGGATTACAGGCGTGAGCCACCACGCCCAGCCAAAGGCTCATGTTCTTTTTTATTTCTGTTAAACTGATGTCCTTCAAGACAGAAAGAAATGTGCAAATATGTAGGAAAAGCCTTTAAAATGTTGAAGCACTTCTAAGAATTTATAGTAAGGAAATAATGGAAGATGCAAAGAGATGATGTTTGTCAAAATGTTTGTTGCAATATTCTCAGTTTTTCACAATTATAACTATATTTAACTGTCTCGGGGTAGCAGTGAATGGTTAAATAGAGACTACACAACCTTCAAAAGTAAAGTTTCCACAAATTTTAATTTTAATGGCATAGTGTAAATGCTTAGGATGTGCAGTGGGTTCTCCATATCCACAGATTCTACATTTGTAGATTGATCCAGCAGAGAATTGAAAGCATTTCAAAAATAGTAATATAATATTTTTACAAATACAGCATAACAACTTTTTTTTGAGATGGAGTTTTGCTTTTGTCACCCAGGCTGGAGCGCAGTGGCACTATCTCGGCTCACTGCAACCTCTGCCTTCCAGGTTCAAGTGATTCTCCTGCCTCAGCCTCCCGAGTAGCTGGGATTACAGGTGCCAACCACCACACCTGGCTAGTTTTTGTATTTTTAGTAGAGACGGAGTTTCACCATGTTGGCCAGGCTGGTCTCGAACTCCTGATCTCAGGTGATCCACCTGCCTCGGCCTCCCAAAGTGCTAGGATTACAGGCATGAGCCACCGTACCCGGCTGCATGTCTACTACTTTTGAATTGACATTGCTACTTATGTATCTAAAATGGCAGGGTACAGGTGGTGCCACTATTCTGTCATCAGGATACTTTCCACTAAGGTTAGTGGAACTGCGCAACCATTCATAGCTCAGATTCATCAGTCACAAAAGAACCCCAGATGATTATGCTGTTCATAAAAAAAAATTTTCTTTAGTATTTTGGTTCTGCTTTAATCTTAATCCCTAGGGTAATAGAAGAGATACTCAAGTTCAGAGAGGCATGGAAGTCATTTGAGAGAGCAGGCGGGCCCAATTTTTTCCTTATGCCAAGTCATCCTTTTTCCTCAAAAATAACAGCAAGAACATTGCCGCAGTTTGCCTCCGCAGCATTATATCATGCTGCAGAAACCAGCTCAACTATGCGAAACTACCACCAGGACTGGCAGACACCAGCAGGGATTCCAGAGACCACGCTGCAGAGAGCATACAGAAAGAAAATTAAGAAATCAGGTCAGTTAGCATTCACTCATGAGCAATGGGAAAGTCTCAGCTCATGGTGTCACACCAGAATGCACATGATGTGCAGTCTGATAATGCAACACTTAGATCACAAAGCAAGAGAAGTGAATGTCTGACATCATTGACTGAGGATAGTTCATGAAGAGATAAATAAAAGTAAATATGTTAAATTTACTCTGAGTGTTTCTTAAAGGTTCTCCTATTCTTCCTAACCCCCCAGTCTCTTCAGCCTAGTCAGCCCTAAATTTGGTTTTAAACAGTTTTTCATGTAGTGCTTCAACCATGTCTCCAATTATTTTGAGTCCTCACCCCTTTGACTCATCAGTACTATTCATTCAACAAATATTTTTTGAGAGTATCCTGTTTGCCAGGCTCTGGAAAAACAATCAAAGCCCAAGAAGGGCCAATGGTGTGATCCTAACTACATCCATGTCCTTGTTTTTTCCTCCGTTCCATTTCCCTCAGTTGTATTAAGGATGAAGCTCACTTTTTTGTTTCCTTCTCCTACATTTGCACCTTACACTTTTACTTATTCTTCTATTCCTTTATTTTTAGAATTAGTTCTCATTTTTGGCCTGGCACAGTGGCTCACACCTGTAGTCCCAGCACTGTAGGAGGCTGAGGTGAGTGGATCACGAGGTCAGGAGATCGAGACCATCCTGGCTAACACGGTGAAATCCTGTCTTTACTAAAAACATAAAAAATTAGCCGGGCGTGGTGGCGGGCACCTGTAGTCCCAGCAATTTGGGAGGCTGAGGCAGGAGTGACTTGAACCCAGGAGGCACAGCTTGCAGTGAGCCAAGATGGCACCACTGCACTCCAACCTGGGTGACAGAGTGAGACTCCATCTCAAAAAAAAAGAAGTTCTCATGTTTCTTCTCCAGGCAGTCCTCTCTTTCAAGTTCCTTCAAATCCTAACCCTTAATGGGAAACCTATGTTATGAATATTGTTTTGTAAAGCAAGGCTAATGATCTCTTCTTGGCCAGTTGTGGTGGCTCATACCTATAATCCCAGCCCTTTGGGAGGCTGAAGGGAGAGGATCATTTGAGCCTAGGAGTTCAAGACCAGCCTGTAACATAGCAAGACCCCATCTCTATTTAAAAAAAAAAAAATTGCCACCCACTAACCTGAAAACAGCAATTCTCCGTGTGGTTTTCAGACTGTGAATGACTGAATAAAGGAGCTAAATTCTGTACATTCTTTTTTTTTTTTTTTTTCTGAGACAAGAGTCTTGCTCTGGTTGCCCAGGCTGGAGTGCAATGGTGCAATCTCGACTCACCGCAACCCCCACCTCCCAGGTTCGAGCAATTCTCCTGCCTCAGCTTCCCAAGTAGCTGGGATTACAGGCACCCGACACCACACACGGATTTTTTTTTGTATTTTTAGTAGAGATGGGGTTTCACCATGTTAGCCAGGATGGTCTCGATCACCTGACCTCATGATCCACCCACCTTTGCCTCCCAAAGTGCTGGGATTACAGGCATGAGCCACCGCACCTGGCCCAACTTTTTATCTTAAATTTCCTTCTGATCCTTATATATCCGTACCTGATTTTTATATAGCAACCAAGGTTTCTCTGTTTAAATGTAGACACATTTTTAGGTATTCAAGCAGAGTGGTTTATTACCGTTAAGGTAAAAGGAATCAAACATTTATTTCTTTGTAGCCACTTGCTAGTATATCCTATACCACTAATATTGATAAATGACTACTATTTATAAGCACAAAGTTTTAATAGCATTTTATTATTTGAAAACTGCACTCTGGGAAAAGATTACTTGTTAAATATTTTAATGGTAAGTCACTGACATGCAGGACTCCGAAGACCTGGTATTAAACTTTTTCCCCTATTATTAACTAATATAATTTCTTTGAAGAAATCTTTCTGGGTAACTATTTGTAAAATATACTACTTAGGATAGACAAAATGATCTATGAGATTCCTTTCAACTAGAGTTTTATGTATTTCTAAGGTCTCAGAAATAAAACGAAAGTAGAGCAGTTACTTGCATAAGCAAAACAATGTCTTACTGTGCCTTTTTGTTGCTCTCAGAATGTTAGCATATAGACCACTGACATTTTACTTTATTTAGCAATAAAAAGATACTTCTTTGTACTTTGTTTCTTTTGATGTTTTTCTCTCCACCAGATGCAGCAGCAGCCGGAACCCACAGTTCACCTTGGTGCATTCCTTTATGATGAAGACTTATTGATTCATTATATGAGAAAGGAAAAATGAGCAGAAACTACTGTATGATGTGCAGCTCACACCAGACAGCACCTTTAGGTAGGCACTTAGGTGTGCAAATCTGACGACTTTATGTGTATTTTTTCTTACATGTCATGAGTATGCAAAGTTTGGACTAAGCTATTCAATGTTTTCTGAAAGCAAAAGGCCAACCTGTGGCATGGTTATTACCAAATACTGCAGTTAGGGAGAGTAAACGAATATTATCTCAGGAGAATAGGTCACTTAATGTCCCCTAGGATATATTTAGAAACTTTTTTGTTGTTGTTTTGTTTTGTTGCTTTGAAACTGAGTCTCCCTCCATCGCCCAGGCTGGAGTGCAGTGGCACAATCTTGGCTCACTGCAGCCTCCACCTCCTGGGTTCAAGCAGTTGTGCCTCAGCCTCCCAAGTAGCTGGGATTACAGGCGCCCACCACCACACCCAGCTAATTTTTTTGTATTTTTAGTAGAGACGGGGTTTCACTATGTTGGCCAGGCTGGTCTGGAACTCCTGACCTCAAGTGATCCACCCACCTTGGCCTCCCAAAGTGCTAGGATTACAGGCATGGGCTACCACACCCAGCCTAGAAACTGTTTTTTCCCTAGTCAAGTAGGGCAGTGAGATGTTTTTCACATCTAGAAACTATTTAATTAAAGGCGACTCTGTAGATTCAGAAACTAAACAGAGGTGACAATGCAAAGGAACTGACTCATACTCTGCATACTGAACAAAGATTGATAAACCATACACTGATTGATTTAGAATGAGAAATACAATTTCCAAGGAGGCTGAAATGTTCTCCCCATAAAAACATCTACTTGAGCTGGACATGGTGGTGTGTACCTATAGTCTCAGCTACTTGGAAGGCTGAGGTGGAAGGACTGCTTAAGACCAGGAGTTCAGGGCTGCAGTGCAGTGTGACTGGGCCTGTGAATAGCCACTGCACTCCAGCCTGGACAACAGGAGACCCAGTCACTTAAAAGAAAAACATCTGGCTGGGCGCAGTGGCTCATGCCTGTAATCCCAGCACTTGGGAGGCCGAGATGGGCAGATCACTTCAGGCCAGGAGCTTGAAACCAGCCTGACCAACATGGTAAAACCCCATCTGTACTAAAAACACAAAAAATAGCAGGGTGTGGCAGCACACATCTGTAATCCCAGCTACTCATGAGGCTGAGGCATGAGAATTGCTTGAACCCAGGAGGTGGAGGGTGCAGTGAGCTGAGATCACACCACTGTACTCCAGCCTGGGTGACAGAGCAAGACTGTCTAAAAGAAAAAATCTACTTAAGAAATCAGATAGTGATCAGATATTATTGGGTGGGCATGGACACAGAAGACAGAGATAGATAATCTTGAGAAATCATTCATTCAGGCTATAATTTGACCGAGTGAAGCATCCCAATCCATATTAGAGAACTTCTCTAGTGACAGAAAGTCTTCTGTCTTTGTTCAGACTGGATAGATTTGTCTAGTCTGTTACTTTAGACGTATATTTCCCTGCTCACTTACATTTAGGATTATTACATAGAGTGGGCTACCCCTCTGGGTCAATAATGTGCTCATATTACTGATCTTAGATAATATCATTATCAAAGATTAACTACCAATTTGGAATATGTTGCTAATACAAATATATTGTACCAATATTATAATTTGAGATTAAACTTCCCTGATTTATTTAAGATCCTATTTCTCAATAATACTTCTAGTTTCCATTTGAGGTAGTTAAAATTTACAGAATGAAAAGGATTTGGACAATAATAGAAGAAACACTAAAAAGTTATTAATAACTTTGGGAGGCTAAGGTGGGTGGATCACCTGAGGTCAGGAGTTTGAGACCAGCCTGGCCAACATGGCAAGACCCCATCTCTACTAAAAATACAAAAATTAGCTGGGTGTGGTGTGGCACATGTCTGTAGTCCCAGCTACCTGGGAGGCTAAGGTGGGAAGATTGCTTGAACGTGGGAGGCGTGCAGTGAGCCCCATCCTGGGCAACAAAGTGAGATAACATCTCAAAAAAAAAAGTTAATAACTGTAATATCCTGTTAAAAATATGTATAGAAGAGCTATGTTTGACAGATAAAAATTTAAAGATTAGGATGTGTCTGCCCATAAAAATCTTATTTTTAATTACTGGGTAAACAAGCCAGCCTCCCCATTATAGAGAACTATAATGAATCTGAAACATTTATCACCATGAGGGACTTTCCCCCTCTCTATGACAAGGGGCATGTCTAGCTACAAGACTATGGTGGTGACTGTAACCCAAAGAAGCACCAGTGTTGCAGAGGGTAGAGAAGATGAGGATCCTAGGGAGATAACGACTACACTGCTTACAGCCCAACCCCCAAGAATAACTTCAGAGGCCTACTCACACCTTTTATTCTCTTCTAAGGGATTGGCCTACCTGCTTCCATTTAACTTTTCACCCTCTGTTAGGACCAAGGTTTTTCCCCTTCCTAATCATTATTATTACATAGAACATGATATAATAAGTCACTGGGTTACCTACATATCAGAAGAAAACCAGACTCAGGCTCTTTCAGATATTTCATGACAGAAACTAGGGTGAGAAGATAGATTAGGAGGCTAGAAATGGTGGCAGGTAAACTTAAGTGGGATAAAAGCAATTTATGGGTGTATGTGAATCTTTCACATCACTCCTCTCTTGCCCTCCAGAATCTATTCCAAGTTGATTAAGGCTGCCACTCAGCATAGCTCCAGAGCCAGTCATACGTTTGGTAGTCTACAGTCTATGCAGCAATACATAGTACTTCCGAGGTTGGTTCTGGGATAAGGTGAGAAAGCCAGATAGTATGGAAGTTATGACACTGTCCCAGGCAGCAACAGGCCATAGGAAGTAGAGGAAGGAAAAAGTCAGAATCTCTAAAGCAGCAGCAAGAAGGAGATGAGGGGCACAGAAATAGAGACGGTCTTCTAAGTAGCTGTTCCCTAAAGGCCTTTTAAATGTCAGACTTAATATTTGTTCTCTCTAATATAAGTCAGAGTGGATGAGTAAAAAATTATCACACAAATTTTTTCTGAATAACTTCTGGATGATTTTCATTAAGGAAAAAAACATGAAATATACTTTATAGATGAAATATAGATGAAAGAATTAGAAGTCCAGAATGCAATTGCTTATACCCAAGCAAAATTTGATGTTCACTCTTCTAATTCTCCGGGATTTATTTCTCATTACTTCTCCCTCATGGAAATGAAATTCATTTATCATCCTATACTCTCTGACGTATCAGGAAAGGTCTTGGTTGACATCAGCTCCAGGCCCAGCATAGTCCTTTATGGGGTACTGTCCAGCTTGTGTGTCCAGAATTGGTGGGTTCTTGGTCTTGCTGACTTCAAGTATGAAGTCACGGACCCTCACAGTGACTGTTACAGTTCTTAAAGATGGTGTGTCCGGAGTTTCTTCCTTCTGACGTTCGGACGTGTTCAGAGTTTCTTCCTTCTGGTGGGTTTCATGGTCTCACTGGCTTCAGGAATGAAGCTGCAGACCTTCACAGTGAGTGTTATAGCTCTTAAGGTGGCACATCTGGAATTGTTCGTTCCTCCCGTCTGGAGTTGTTTGTCCCTCCCGGTGGGTTTGTGGTCTCACTGTCCTCAGGAGTGAAGCTGCACACCTTGGCAGTGAATGTTACAGCTCATAAAGGCAGTGTGGACCCAAAGAATGTGCAGCAGCAAGATTTATTGCAGAGTGAAAGAACAAAGCTTCCACACCATGGAAAGTGACCCCAGGGTTGCTGCTACTGGCCCAGGTGGCCTGCTTTTATTCCCTCATCTGGCCCCAGGCACATCTTGCTGATTGGTCCATTTTACAGAGAGCCGATTGATACATTTTAGAGAGAGCTGATTGGTCCGTTTTACAGAGAGCTGATTGGTCCATTTTGACCGAGTGCTGATTGGTGATTTACAAACCTTTAGCTAGACACGGAGTGCTGATTGGTACATTGGTGCATTTACAATCCTTTAGCTAGACAGAAAAGCTGTCCAAGTCTCCACCAGTGCCAGAAGCCCAGCCAGCTTCACCTCTCACTGGCACTCCCCCCGGGACTTAGCGGCACCTAGGCACTCCGGCAGCCCAGAGGGAGGATCACCTGAGCCTGGGGAAGATGAGGATGCAGTGAACTGTGATTATGCCACTGCATTCCAGCCTAGGCGGCAGAGTGACACCCTGTCGCAAAAATAAAGGAAACCCATTTTTAAAAATGCAACTTTTAGATAATGGGAATTAATAAACTATAATCAAGGCTTTGATCAGTAAAAGCCTTTTTCAGTTCAGGAAGTTGTAAGTTTTAGATAAACTACAAGATATTACTTTCATTTTATTTTTACTTTATTGAATTATTTTTATTTATATGTTTTGAGACAGTCTCACTCTGTCGCCCAGACTGGAGTTCAGTGGCGCAATTTCGGCTCACTGAAACCTCTGCCTCCCGGAGTCAAGCAATTCTCTTGCCTCAGCCTCCCGAGTAGCTTAGATTACAGGTGCCCACCACCATGCCTGGCTAATTTTTTCTATTTTTAGTAGAGTCGGGGTTTCGCCATCTTGGCCAGGATGGTCTGGAACTCCTGACCTCAGGTGATCCGCCTGCCTTGGCCTCCCAGAGTGCTGGAATTACAGGCGTGAGCCACCGTGCCTGACCAAACTATATTTTTTAAAGCTCGATTTTTTAAAATTTCAAGTAGAAATAAACCTACCAGTAAGAGTTCATTCATTTGTATCACAGTGTATCTTCCTATTTTAGGATTATCTTTCCAGTTCAGCAGTGCAACTCTATGGAGTAGAATTGAAAGGAGACTTTCCCCAATTGCAGGAAATGGTCATAAAAAAAATACCTGTTCACTGACAGAATAAAGGTACGTTTTAACTTAGCCAAATCTCTTTTGCATTGTTTTCCAATCTGTTCTTGGTTGCCATTGTATAGAAACAGATTGAATGATCTTAAATATTTTAAAACATTAACAGAGATGAATTGTTGTGATTATATCCTGTTCACATATTTCTCTCTTTGCTGATTTTATTGGAAAGTAAAATTTTTTGAATTGTCCTACCAGATACAGTTTTGGTAGCAGCATTTTTTAATCTCTAGAGGTTGATTAGAAATGTATTTAATCTCTGAATGGTGAAAATACATAAAAGGCCTAAGTAATGCTCACAATACCTCTTTTTCAGCAGGTATTGTGTATGCCACAGAATAGCAGTTCATGGGGGAATGATGCCATAGGTCAGGCTACAACAGAGGTTTTCTCTTTTTCCCATATTTAAGAAGAAAAATAACAAAAAAGGGGAAAGGAATTTTTTTGGTTAATGCAGTAATCTTTATCATTTCACTAATAGTTCTATAATTCTGATGGCAATGCAGAGAAATATTGAGTATCTCTGATGTCAAGTGCAATCTAATGTGGAAAGACATACCTCAGTAAGATTAAGGATGTAGTCTTCCCGCCCACTTTTTTTTTTTTTTTGAGATGGAGTCTCGCTGTGCCGCCCAGGCTGGAGTGTAGTGGCGTGATCTCGGCTCACTGCAACCTCCACCTCCTGGGTTCAAGTGATTCTCCTGCCTCTGCCTCCTGAGTAGCTGGGACTACAAGAGCCCACTACCACGGCTGGGTAATTTTTTGTATTTTTAGTAGAGACGGAGTTTCACCATGTTAGCCAGGATGGCCTCGATCTGCTACCTCGTGATCCACCCGCCTCAGCCTCCGAAAGTGCTGGGATTACAGGCATGAGCCACCGCACCTGGCCTCCCCTTTTTTATAGAAGGAAATTATTTCATTCCCTCCTCTTTTCCACCAATCTCTCTCTCCCCCAATTGCTCATATTAGAGGTAGAGAGACAAATGATCAGAGTAAATTCATTGTCCAATAATAAGTTCATGGTATTTTCTCACTATCCCATATGTGATGAACAATAATACCTTGCTCTTACATAAGAATCACATAACTAATAGAATCAATATAATTGAAAATTGAGATTTAAAAATTATGAACTCTTAAAAATCATGGTTTATAAATGGATAATCAAGTAATTTTTGTTGGTTTCTTTTTAGAGAAGATAATAAAGGTGTACAAAACACATATTTACTTTTTTTTTTTTTTTGAGATGGAGTCTCACTCTGTCACCCTGACTAGAGTGCAGTGACATGATCTTGGGTCACTGCAACCTCTGCCTTCCAGGTTCAAGCGATTCTTCTGCCTCAGCCTCCCGAGTAGCTGGAACTACAGGCGAGCACCACCACGCCCGGCTAATTTTTGTATTTTTAGTAGAGACGGGGTTTCACCATGTTGGCCAGGCTGATCTCGAACTCCTGACCTTGTGATCCACCCACCTCAGCCTCCCAAAGTGCTGGGATTACAGGTGTGAGCCACTGCGCCCAGCCTTATTTACATTTTTGAAGTTTTTTTTACCCCTTTTCAAAGGAAAATATGCAGACAGACACCCATCCACATACTGGCTTGTAGCTTCTGTGGCCATCAGCAACCCGATAAAAACTTTTTGGCCAGGTGCAGTGCCTCACGCCTGTAATCCCAGCACCTTAGCAGGCCAAGGTGGGAGGATTGCTTGAGGCCAGGAGTTCAATAACAGCCTGAAAAACCATCTCTCCCAAAAAAAAAAAAAAAAAAAATTAGCCAGGTATGGTGGCACACACCTGTAAGTCCCAGCTACTTGGGAGGCTGAGGCAGGACTCCTTTAGCCCAGCAGTTTGAGGCTTCATTGATCTACAGTCATGCCACTGCAGCCCAGCCTGGATAACAGCTAGACTTTGTCTCTTAAAAAAATAAAAACTCTGAGGCCGGCTCGGTGACTTACACCTGTAATCCCAGCACTTTGGGAGGCCAAGGCGGGCAGATCACCTGATGTCAGGAGTTTGAGACCAGCCTGGCCAACATGGCGAAACCCCATCTTTACTAAAAATAAAAAAATTAGCCAGGTGTGGTGGTGCCTACCCTGTAATCCCAGCTACTTGGGAGACAGAAGCAGGATAATTGCTTGAACCTGAGAGGCAGAGGTTGCAGTGAGCTGAGATCATGCCACTGCACTCCAGCCTGAGCGACACAGCAAGACTCTGTCTCAGATAAATAAATAAACAAAACTTTTTTAATACCATCTTTTTTTGTTTTTTGAGATAGGGTCCTCCCTGGGCTCAGGTGATCCTCCCACCTCAACCTCCCAAGTAGCTGGGACTACAGGTGTGCGCCACCATACCTGGCTAATTTTTGTGTTTTTTTGGTAGAAACAGGGATGTACCACATTGCCCAGGATGGTCTTGAAATCCTGAGCTCAAGCGATCTGCCCACCTCAGCCTCCCAAAGTGCTAGGATTATAGGCCTCGGTCACTGCACCTGGTATTTATTTTTTTATTTTATTTTTATTATTTATTTATTTATTTATTTATTTATTTTGAGAAAGAGTCTTGCTCTGTTGCCCAGGCTGAAGTGCAGTGGCATGATCTCAGCTTACTCCAACCTCCTCTTCCCGGGTTCAAGCAATTCTTCTGCCTCAGCCTCCCAAGTAGCTGGAATTACAGGCACGCACCACCACGCCTGGCTAATTTTTGTATTTTTAGTAGTAACTGGGTTTCACCATGTTGACCAGGCTGACCTCAAACTCCAAACCTCAAATGATCCGCCCACCTCAGCCTCCCAAAGTGTTGGAATTACAGACGAGCTACTGCGCCTGGCCTGTTTCATCTTTTTGTATGGGGCTTTTCTCTGAATCCTTGGTTTTCTGCTCATACTTAAGAATGAGTAACAAAAATGCTGATTGAAGTTCTGAGTGGGGATTGTTAACTGTGGACTTCACTATTGAGTGATCTTGCTGGGTAGTTTATTAGTTGGGAAATATCTAGTGAAATATCTTAAGATCTTTCCTCTTGGGCTGATCTGATTGCCTAGAAAAAAACCTTTCCAATCTTCTAGCCGAATAGCAAGCAGCATACTGGGAACAGAGTGGTAGAGCAAAAGGGTTGAAGAGGCAGGGTTCTCCGCATTCTGCGTGCATGTTTCCTTAATTCCCCGATTTTCAGTACGTTACCCTTTCCTTCAGCGAGGCCTGGAATCCCCTGGTTATCCTGTTCAACCCTCTCCAGAGAATAAACCTCTATTCATTTGCTGGAGTAGGAGAAAGGGAAATAGGGATCTGACTGCGTCTTAATCTGACTTTCAGCTAGATTCTCTTATTTTTAGCATTTCTCCCTACTACTTCATCCGGTACCACCAATTATTAGCCTTTTGGAGTTCCTGTAGCATAAGTCAGATTTGAGTCTTAGCTCTCAATATTTCTATCTTTGAAATCAGTTTTCTTAGGTCTCCTTCCCCTCCCCTCTCCTCTCCTTTCTTTTCTTTTCAACAGTCTTGCTCTGTTGCCCAGGCTGAAGTGCAGTGGCATGATCTCAGCTTACTCCAACCTCCTCTTCCCGGGTTCAAGCAATTCTTCTGCCTCAGCCTCCCAAGTAGCTGGAATTACAGGCACGTGCCACCAAGCCTGGCTAATTTTTGTATTTTTAGTAGTAACTGGGTTTCACCATGTTGACCAGGCTGACCTCAAACTCCAAACCTCAAATGATCCGCCCACCTCAGCCTCCCAAAGTGTTGGAATTACAGACGAGCTACTGCGCCTGGCCTGTTTCATCTTTTTGTATGGGGCTTTTCTCTGAATCCTTGGTTTTCTGCTCATACTTAAGAATGAGTAACAAAAATGCTGATTGAAGTTCTGAGTGGGGATTGTTAACTGTGGACTTCACTATTGAGTGATCTTGCTGGGTAGTTTATTAGTTGGGAAATATCTAGTGAAATATCTTAAGATCTTTCCTCTTGGGCTGATCTGATTGCCTAGAAAAAAACCTTTCCAATCTTCTAGCCGAATAGCAAGCAGCATACTGGGAACAGAGTGGTAGAGCAAAAGGGTTGAAGAGGCAGGGTTCTCCGCATTCTGCGTGCATGTTTCCTTAATTCCCCGATTTTCAGTACGTTACCCTTTCCTTCAGCGAGGCCTGGAATCCCCTGGTTATCCTGTTCAACCCTCTCCAGAGAATAAACCTCTATTCATTTGCTGGAGTAGGAGAAAGGGAAATAGGGATCTGACTGCGTCTTAATCTGACTTTCAGCTAGATTCTCTTATTTTTAGCATTTCTCCCTACTACTTCATCCGGTACCACCAATTATTAGCCTTTTGGAGTTCCTGTAGCATAAGTCAGATTTGAGTCTTAGCTCTCAATATTTCTATCTTTGAAATCAGTTTTCTTAGGTCTCCTAAATTCCTTATCACTTCTCCTTTTTTCTCTAACTTAACAAATTTTTATATCTGTTATTCCCTTTCCCATTCTATCCATCCTTGAAGGTTTACACCTTCTTTTAAAAACCCCTATTCTGTCATTATAATGGGATTTCAGTAATGTACACACATGTCTCTTACCCACTGTCTTTACAGGTAAGGCCTATGGATTGAAATTGTTTTTTCCCTTTTCTCCAGGCTAGAGGTAAACTTTCCCTCATTCATATCCCTGGTGTTAGCTTATTCCTTTGATGGCAGCTGTATGAACTTACTAATGTAGCTTTTTTAATCCCCTTACTAGATAACATATGTGAGAGTAAATATTGTGTCTCATTCATCACAGTGTATATCTCTGCACAGTATCTTGTGCATAGGAGGTGCCCATTAAATACTGGTTAAATTGATTTGAGCTACCTTGTGGCCTCTGCGTTGTTAGCATTCCAGAGTTTGCCCAGAGCTATTCCTTAGGGTTTTCCTGGGACCTTAGGAGCACCTCTGTGGGCTGTCTAATTACTTGATCCACCTGATTCTCTTTTACACTGTCTGTACAGTTGTGGGGTATGGGGAGAAAAGAGTGAACAGAGATGGAAAAGAAAA